TTTTTTCCTCGAAGTCCATCTTAAATGATGTTATTTCATAATCATGTAAGACCTAAATTAGGTCGATGTTAGTGTATGCTAATTGAATTCTTAATTGTCGCATTGTAAAGCGGAACTGGTTTCTCTTCATTCATTTTCAAATGTATTCAACTGAGTGATGACAAAAGCTTTCCTAGCATATATTCAGCATTAAATATATGTATCTATTATAGACTATATGTTTATATGTATACATATGTATTTATATTAATGTGGTAACGAAATTATATCTTTGTTTAAATGGAGCTTTAATTTATAAAATTGTAGCCTATAAAAATCTGTGTTATCGGTCATAAAAGTGCTCACATACATTTGGAATTTAATTATGGTATATTGTTTCTATTCACTTTGATTACTCCATTCATTAAAATAATATTAATTATGCATTTATATTTAAAGCTATCGAAATGTATTAAGATATAGAGAACGTGTTTGAGCCTGTCTAGACCTGAATGTACTGCAAAATCGTGAATTGAGAGCACTTCACAACTGATGTTCTAGCGTAAAATTTTGATAGACCAATTTCTTGATATGATTCGTATAAGTGATATAAGTATGACCGTAGATTGGGAACTTCTTCCGTTGATTTTGATGCGGGAAGTCTAAAACGCCCAGTATTTACATGTAGCGGTAATATTAAAGCTTATTTCTTTGTTTTTATAATTATTGTACATATGTATCTATATATATACGAGTAAATGAAGTATGAAAAGAGTATGATCGGTAAAGAGGCAATTTTAGGAACTGTGCCCATTCCTTCTCAGCAAGTCACCGATATGAAAATCATTTCTCTTCAAGTTTGGAAAGTTTCAAGGGGATGAAGGCGGCATAACGAAACCAGCCGAAATCACAATGGATTCAATGATGACATCGAGCAATGCTAGGGGTTGGAATAAGAACAATGGAATAGTTTGTGTCAGAAATGTTTGCTGCTTATGGCTACGAGTGTTTGTAGTATCTTTAGAAAGTTTCATTTCAATGTTGTATTTGCAAATGTTCCTTTGAGTTGATAGCAGTTTCTCTATTATCCCTTTCCTGACTTCAGCTCCCTTTATGTGCGATTCAATTCGGTTGAGTAATAATCTATTCAAATGCCTTTCCTCGAAAGTAAATATTATATAATCTGAATTTGACAGAAAGCCAGGCATATGAATTTACAGAAGTATCATTCAATAGAAATAACTAAAATAAAATTTATAGCGCAAATCGGTAAGCAGTCTCGACATTTTGAAGTAAAGTCTCAATTTGTGACAAGTTACTATTCACGATATATAATATTATCCAGTATTTAGTCACAAAATACTGTCTCAAATTTGTCACCTGATAGTATTAGTAAAGCATTTGATAGTTGTCGGAATTGGAATTGAAACCGAGAAAAAAATCTAGGAGGTGTCATGAATTCAGATATTATTGGTTTGATGTTCGAAATAGAAATTGTATCGGTTTTGGAAACCAATTTTATCGGTTTTGTTATCAGAAACAAAGCAAGAAGATCGCCGCTAACAGATTTGAAGTGTTGGTTAAGAAATTAATTAATTTTATTATTACGAATTAACGTAATTCTATATCTATAGGGTAAAACATAAGAATAGAACTCAAAATGCTATAATTATTAAGTTTACGGAAAAAATCCAGATATTTTATGAGAATTTACAAATAGTAGTATAACACTATAAAAAAATCGTCTTTGTTCAGGCGATTTTGCAATATAAATCTGTAAGGTTAACAAGTAAATGTAAGCTAAATTTGAATTACGATTCCCCTCGACAATTAAGTGGCTTACTGTGATCTCTTAAAATCTTTGCTTTAGTCTCTTCGTTGCTTTCTTCCTCCAATAAAATAAAATTTAAAATTGCGGAACTTATTGAAAATTTTAATAGAATTGCTTCCAAATTTATTCATTTGCAAGTTTTGTCACATTAGCAAACAGCTGATTCGAATACTGGTTTTGCGTATGCTCGGAAAGATGAAAATCCAATCAGATTCTGGGACACCATTGAAAATCCGAAAACTAGTAAATTTGTCTTGGATTCCGAAACATCCCTGAATATCTCAGAATCTTTAAAACTTATCAATATTTTCTATGCTGTATCTCTACCAACGTTTTCTTGAGAAAACTGATAAAGAATTCTAAGTTAGATAGGGGAGTGTAGCAGCAGCAGCTTTCCCTGATGCTAGACTTTAGTTTTAGTTATTTTAATATTATAGTTAAAAAAAAGTCATTCGATTTAAAGAATTTTTCGATTTAACGAATTTTGTGTACAACAAACTTTTGTGCTAGACTTTAGTATATGTAAAATAGAAAAAATTAATTAATTAAAATTATTATAATATAATAAAACGATCTTGTCAAATAAATAACCAAATATATTGAGTTTTTAATATACATATGTACATACATATATATACTTTAATTCAACGACAATCTTATGGTGCTGACTGAAACCGTTTATCAACTAAGACCTCGTTCAGGCACAGCAACTCAAGTAAATGTTTACAATATGTTTGCAAATTTAAATTTTATTTAATTGCGTTTGCCAGGAATTTACAAATATTTATGAAAAATCAATCGAATTATGCCTTCGATTTTTATTTAGAATGTATCAATCATAATTATTATTAGAGTTATGCCTTGCAATGCTAAGCCATTGGAGTACTCGTATTTCTAGGGAAATTGGTTAAAATAAATGAGCTGCGGCCAAATAAGTAATGAGCGCAACGGATACACATCACTTGAATAAAATAAATAGATAAAAAAAAGACGGAAATACGTATATTGGTCACACACTTGCACATACATATATGAGTATAGCGTTGCTTGCAACGCAATATCTAGGAGATGACCATAAGTCGATTGGAGCAGCAATAGAACTACGGTACTACTACTTCAGGTCCGTAGTTATGTGAACCGCGATACATTGTTTGATGGTAGTGGCCAAGTGGGACAACATTGTCACATCAAGCTCCAATTGTTCATATTGAAGATCGCACAATGTCGTACGTGAAACGGCGATGCATCCGGAACGCATGGACCGCATTCTTCATACATAAGCGGACTATGCAATACGGCAACTAAACCCATTTTATCGCTTATCGACAACAAATTCTTTCGACTCATTCAATGTCACTACGAGCCATATCAAACGACATGATGCACTCGACGGACGCAACGCGGATACACTTCTCCACCATCGTTCCAGCAAGTTCGAGTTTGAAATATGTAGTTGCAACTCGCTGGACAGTTGTTTTAAAGAAAACAAAATAAAACAAGTAAGGAAGGGCTAAGTTCGGATGTAACCGAACATTTTATAGTCTCGCAAAGTCAAATGGTATACTTGTTTTCGATTTCTTTGTGGATCTTGCCGCCTTGTTCAATGTTGACCGATATTTTCGGTAAAAAGTTAACCACAAGTATAGGCACTGGGGTCCACATATTCAGCACCTAAGGGCTTGAGCAGTTTTGGTTCAATTTAGACAGTTTTTAGTCACAAGGTGGCACATTTTAAACGCATTATTCACACAGATAACGTTTTCACGATACAATCATTGGGCGGTAACACGCCCACTGTCTAATTTTGAAGTCGGGTTCTATAAAGTCATCTCATGCCATCCAAGAGATAAAATGTAATGTCTCTGACGTGTTAGTGCTTGATTTATCGCTTTAAGCAGTTTTAAACAGTACCGTTATATGGTGAGTGGGCGGGGTTGTCATATATATTTAACCCTATATCTAACTTGATTAGTTTTAGGTGATACAAACAACCGTTAATAAACATAACTATTATACCCTGTAGCAACATATTGCGAAGGTATAAAGATTGTCAGTTCCTACAGCGAACATTTGATAGGTTATTGAAATTCGGAGTAAATCCTCTTCTGATAACAGTATGTCTGTATGTCAAAAATGGGTTGAATCGGGTCAAAACGTTCCTTAGCTCCCACATACCTAATGTAAGGATTTTGGAACTTTAGGTTTACTTTATATGGCATATATCGGTCAATTTGTGAGTTATCTTATTGAAAACGAGACTGCGTGTTTTTCTAATAACAATGTGTCTTTGTGCCTAAAATGGATAAAATCGGATGAAAACTTGCCCCAGCCCCGATATAACTACGATTTTTGAACATTTGGCTGACTTAATTCCATATATGTTGGTTATGGACGGGGATTTTCCAATAAGAGCGATATGATTTGTTGACTTCTAAAGCTTGAAGAGAGTCTGGTTTATTGCTAAATACCAATGACTTCAAATAACCCCACATAATAAGTAGTCTAATGGTGTTAAATTACAACTTCTTAGAGGCCATTCAATATCACAATTTCTTGAAATTATCGAATCTCCAAACTTTTCTCGCAATAATTGGTTGTTGCACGTGCTAAGCCCCGCCTTGTTGGAACCAGATGTTGTCAAGATGAAACTTGCAATTGCGGCCATAAAAAGTTGGTTACCATCGATCAATACCGCGCTCCATTAACAGTAACGGTGTCACCAGCTTCAAGTACGGACCGATGATTCCACCAGACACAAAACCACACCAAATTGTCAATTTAGATTAATGTAATGGCTGTTCATGAATAATTTGTGGTGAACCGCATTATTACGACTATAAAATGGCAAAAGCGCATGAAAAGTTGCAATTGGAGAACGATTGTTTTGCTAATAAAATTGAAATTACAGATCATTTTAAAAATGACCAAAACGACACTTAGAAATCATATCATCCCTATTGAAAAACCCGATATAATAGCAACATTTTTATCAGCAAAGTGTGATGAATTATCGAATTAACAAAATTAATAATTGACATTGTAGTATAATAATTGAAATATGTAATTGCCAAAAATTAGCGTAGTAAAGTCGATCTGAAATAGGAATTAACTGCATTATAGAATTTGGACTAAATGCTAATTATATACGAATTTCTTTGCAATTCGTGAGCTGATAGTAAAGGAGATTTAATAAAATAAAACATTTTTAAGATCATTTTATTTCGGCGTTTCTCTCTTTTGTGTTTACAGTGTAAATAAACTTACGTCCATTTACGAAAATACAGTTTGTAATGAACTCAATGAATTGTATTAAAATCCAATTTTAAATGCTAAACAAATATTTTATAAATATAAATAGGGATTGATGGATAAGGTTTTTTTCGATGTATTTGTATAAGTTGTCGAAGTTGAAAAGCATGACGAGTGGCGTTTGAGAACAAGAATTTTGTTCTCCTTAACCGAATGATTTGTGTCCGTCACTTCCCAGGAACTAGAACGTTAACTTCTTGGTCATCTATATAACCAGGGTATTATGCAGCAATACAGTGGCTTTGCAAATGTACTTCATGATTTGATAAAATTCGCCATCGAGTGCTGAAACTCCAAACGTATAATCAATCACTTGGCGTGATTGAGATAATCTCAAATTAAAGGCCTCTCGACTTGGTGAAAGTGAATTTCCTGCAATTTTTAAACAAATAATTTACTTAATTATTATTACTTCCTTCTATAAATTCTTTAAGTTAGTAATATAAATGTATAATTATGGGCAATACTAATTGCCAACGTGTGAAGAATGAAATGAAGAAGAAAGTATAGAATTAGTCCACGAACATCAGCTTTTTAACTCTTAGTTGGAATTATTTGTATATATGCTGATTTAATTTTGGTTTGAGCTGACATTTTGTAGCACCAACAAAATAGTGCAAAATTTGTATGTCACTATAAAAATATCCTCAGCGAAACTCAATTTTCATGTACCACCTTGCCGTGCTGCAGGGGCTTAAGTCGCAAGGCATTCTTGGCACCTCCCAACCGTTGGGGTCGGAGGAGCTTACCGCTCTTGAAGAACTTCTTATGGAAGAGGTATATAGAGTGGTGTTAGTACCCAAGGGCGAATACTGCAGGTGGATTGCAAGGACGAGAGCTCTGCTAACTGGCTGAGAGATATCGCTCCCAAGCTGGTTGGTTGGAAAGGCGCCGTCCTCTACGAAAAAAGGAGAGTTGAACTGGCTGATGAGTTTGCCCGCTCTGCAACTTTCACAACAATGGTAGGACCGGAAACCTACATGGTGGTTGCTCCCCATACCATAAATGAGTTGCCCCGCAAAAAAGAAAGACTAGGAAGGAAGAGGTATTGGCTACAACTCCAAGGAATGCGCCAAACTAAATTGCTAATGGTTGGTTACAAACTCGGCAGATTTAAGAATGTAATCATTTTTCTGTGGAACAAATTCCGGCTACTTGTCGCATCTAAGCTGGCCATTGTAAGCTCTAGAAGCACTTATTTAACATGGTCCTAGCCTCTTGTGCAAACTGCCGGCTCTGCGACATGGAATCGGAAACTCCAGAACACCAGCTAATAGACTGCACGACAGTCTGCAGATGCAGGATCAAAGTCCTTGTATCCATCTGATGTGATAAACCTCATTTTTTATCTATCTATCTATCTATCATTGTCGGTACACAAGATGAGAACGCGGTAATCGGCAAATGTGTGATAATTCATCGAACCCTCTTTCTACACCGGACAAATATTTATCCGAGAACTTCCAAAGTACTTCACAAGTTTCGCTCACAATAGTATGCACAATTTAGCATCCTAACTGGAATGCTGAAGTAAACATTTCTACAATTCCTTTATTTGATAAATACCTTAAATAATAGAAATAAAGGTATGTAACACGAATAATTCATGGACTTTAATTACTTACATAAGTCAAAAATACTATGAATTTTGCTGTAATCGCTGAAGGGTATTGTTGTTTGGCCAATTTAAGAAGTTTGCCTCCTTTCCAAGATTGTTACGTATTAAACAACAAAATGAATTCATTAACATTCTATGCTAAAATCTTGTCGAAATTCATTTTAAAATTTTCTAATTGATTTTGTTTCGCTTATTTCAATGTACACAATAAGATCTTCCTTCTCTATAATACTGTAACGGATTTCTCGATAAATCGTCTACCTATAACTCACTCTTGAGTTCGATCACTGGATTGCTAAATAAAAGTCCCAATTTAATGGCTATAACTTATCGTTATTTCTAATTTCAACATCTTAACACTTAACTTAACATTGCTCGTTATTCGAGCTTACAATTTCTTGCTAATGTCTCAATTGTTCTTATCACGACAACACTCTAACTAGAACTGTGTTTGCTGCACAGTCCTGCAGCCCTTATATAGTAAATCTTTAACAAAACATTGTTTCTAGAACATTCTGGCAACTTCGAATTCGCTAACTAGTTGCATCTGGCAATTTAACGTCGATTCGATTTTGTTCTATCATCCGTGTTCGTCACAATACGTTCCCTGGTACTACCAAGCTTCATAGAAAAACTGTTTAATTTGTTAAGTAATTAAAGAAGAAGATATATATACAAGTCCATCTGCAAAATAGCTGTTTATCATTTTCTTATTATTTTATACAATATCTTTGTACAATACATCAAAACTCTAGCCAAAGTGCTTGTAATGTACAATATTTTAAACAATTATAGAATTTTCGACACAGCCTGTAGTAATGAAATCGTTACGCCGCATCTCCACAGGCAATAATCATTGCCAACCATCTGCCAAATGTATTGTCATTACGGCAATATAATGTTATGAAATGACGAAAATATATAATATGAGAAGAAAGAAAAGAGTATAAACTTGTTTTTTGCGACAATTTTTTTGGAAATATATTATTTGATATTTTATACGTCATTAATTTTGCATTTTTGAACACATGCTCACAAGTTTATAAATATATTTTTATACTCTTGCAACATGTTGCTACAGAGTATAGTAGTAAACTAATCGAGTTAGATATAGGATTATATATAAATACATATAAAACTGATCAGGATGAGAAGACAGGGTAAAAACCGGGTCACTGCCTGTGTAAGCTGTAACTTGAGTAAAAATTGAGATATCTTGATAAAACTTGGTACACATATTTTTTGCCACCATAAGAAGGTTGGTATTGTAAATGGGCTTAATCAACTAAGCTCTACAATAAGATACAAGACTGCTATTTGGTACAACGAACCGCAAATTTGTTTTACAAGTGGGGTCAAAACCCATATCTCAATATTATCCTGACCTCCCTATGTTACAGTGTAAAAATAGGCGAAATCGAACCCCAGCCAGTTGCAAGAGTATAACATGTTCGGTTACACCCGAACTTAGCTCCTTCTTACTTTTTATATATAGATATGTATTTAGGTACTTTATATTTTGAATATTTGAATTTTATCGGGATGCCCTCTAGGAGGAGGTAGGAGTTACACTCTGATGAGTCTGCAAGAATGTTATAGAATACGTATTTATTTTCCATAAAAAACACTGGCAATTAGAAAAGTTCACATCTTATACGATAACATATAAAGTTTTATTTAATACTTTATTTTAATCCACTTTAAAAGAAATACATGTTGTTAACATAAACGCAGTAAGCACAGCGAATTGGTAACCTTTTCTTCGTGCTGATAAAACATTTGTACTCTCCTGTGCCAAATGGAATTTTGCAATTGAAATTATCAAAACACAATAAAAAGACTTTTATTACAAACCTTTTGAAATTCAATGCCTTATTTCTAATATTATACTGTTACTCGCATACACCATATTTCATATACATATACCAATATCGAAGCTAATTAAATAAAATATTTATATGTTTATTAATGCACCTTTATTTAACGGTCTAGAATGACATTATCCAATAGCTGAAAATAAATATACGTAAGCAAGTTAGAATAACACCAAAATAATGGAAGCCAATGTTATTATAAAATATGTGTTTAGTATAAGGTATTTATTAATTAAGTAAATTGCACTTCTTTATAAAATGATTCTTATTACAACCTTGACTTAGTTTAGTATGTCAAAGAATCTATTTCTGTTTTTATATCTTTTAAGAATGCATAGTTTTTGTCTAACCGTTCCGCCACTAGGTTTGCCACAGAATTACCTTCAACAATAATCGGTACAATTTTCTCACCCAAAGCTTGTAAAATTTCTGCGACTTTGAGAATTGTCATTGGATCAGGTAATCCTGGTATACCAGCCCTTGTCATTAACTTTCCATCCCCGTCTTTGTTGTTATTATCGACATTTGTAGCCTCTAAGGATCGCTTGCTGCGCGATTCGTTCGAATCTTCAATGGTTGCTTCTGAGGAAGAGTTGTCTTCTTCGGAGGGTTGTGGTGTATTGTCATACTGTAAAGACAAGAATTAACGGTAAATCTCCCTTTCGAATATATGATAACTTACATTAGCTGCCACATGAAATGGTAGCAATAGTAAAATTAAACTGAGCCACACAATATTTTGTCTCAAGAGGACCATGTTAAATGAAAAATATAAAATACGATTTGTGTCTTGCACCTCCGTGAATAAATTCATGAGTAAGATAAATTAAAACTAAAATCCTCGTAACAATTGCTCACCATTTTATATATGTTGTAGCATTGCATGTCGAAAATGGCGTCAATTTCAAGTTGTGATATGTTTTAGTTTCGATTGGCGTGCCAAACAACTTCGACACTTTCGTCCAATTCATGATGATAATTTGCCAATTTATATGATTACTTGAAAAAATTCCAGTGAAATGGGTAATGCTTTTTCGAGCGGAAATTAATCGGTCATACTATTTATTTATGAGCATATGATTTTTGTACTTAAACATGTAAGTGAGTATTTTTTACGCGTAATCGTGAGCTCAAAATTAAATTACAGCAGTTACAGGTTCTATAGATAAATCAGAGATTTCCTATATTCTCAACTCAAAATCTTCGGTACTTTTCACAACTAGCTTTTTCGGACAAAATTGTTGTACCATGATATATTATTATGACTTGTATTGTTTCTTTGTTATAATTTTTTTTATTTATATATTATTTTTTATGTTATAGGATGTTTTAAAAATTTTATAATATGAATACACGTATTTAGGGATGTATATGCGTTATATAGGCCTACTCGGGAGCCGAGCAGATAAAAATAATATGAAATGCAAAATACCCAAAAGTTATTATTAATATACCCAATCCATTTTCTTTCGACAGTGGCATGATTGACAAATGTTATAAGAAATATGGGTTTTGACAACTCTCTCTTTTGAATCAAAGAATAACAGTCAAACAATCTCGTGCCATATTTTGTAAGTATTTCATATTACAACGACAACAAATTCATTCATTAGGAACGGTTGCTTTTGTCTTTATTTATTTTAATATCTATTTTAAGAAAATAGTCATGTCACCCTGTTATGTGTCTATTTTGTCAAATTCATTTTGTTTTAGGGTTGATTATTAATACCGTAAGTAAGCTATTTACGTTCTCTGTTTACTGACAGCTGATTCTTCACTGCCAAGGATGGACCAACTTTGATATCAACAATCGATAGTGTCATATATATTTTCATATTCAATTGAGGTTTTTTAAAAAATATCATGGTAAAGAAACTTTCCTTATACTTTGTCTCTTTTGATTAGTACTTTAGGTTTGTGTTGACATTATATGTTATATAATTTCTCTTAATATTGACACATCCATTTTTGAGATCAATCAAAGTATCGTTTTCTCTAAAGTTCATGTACCAGCTTCTTTTTGTCATCTCTACAAGATTATAAAAACTCTCAATTTCGCTTGCTAGATAACAAAAATGTCTTTATTTACTTCTAAAAATTTAGAAGTCTTTATTAATGAATTTCTCAAGGAAGATCTAAAACAATTAGAGATCCACATAAACAACTACAACGGTGAAATTATGGAGTATGTGCAACTCAAAAATACATTAGAAGCACTAAGTGATAACTCTGATGGTTCCTTTAAAACGCAAATGGGTAAGTACGCAAATTATATTTTGTTTTCTAATGTCTTATGTATTTTGTAGATATTGGGGGCAATATGTTCATGGAGGCCAAAGTGGATAACTCGTCCAACTCAATCTTGGTTGATGTGGGAAAAGGTTATTTCGTGCAATTCACCTTGGAGGAAGCATTGAAATTTCTGGAATTTAAAGTAAAAGCACTTACAAATGAATGTAATGTTCTGCGCGAGGAAAGTGTGAAAAAACGTTCGGATATAAAACTTGCGTTGTGGTGCATTGCTGAACAAGAAAACTTCTATCCGTGCAACCAAGACTAAGAAGTGCTTAAATTGTTCGAGATTTGTAAATACTATTCTTAATGTTTTATCTGATTAAGTGGAGATGTATGTTAGTACGTAGAGCTAAGAAATAATTTGTTTATTTTGTGCTAAAATATTGTGTATGTGTGAAAAGAGAATTGGCAGGTTCAACTTAATTTTTATTACGTCCTGAATTTATAATAAACTTAAATGTCTTGCGACAAATGCGTGATAGTAGCCAATAGAAACAGGGTTATGTTATTTAAGATTTTGCTAAAAGTGTTAAATGAATGCTATTACTATTATTATTGTAGTAGTAGAAAAATTCGACAAAAAACTTTAAAGCCGTTTTGGGGTGCAAGGTTCCTTATTAGTTGATTTCAAGTCGAGCAAAATTTACATCACGATTAGTAATTCAAACGATTATTTGAGTAAGATCACATAATTATTAATTCAAATTCTATTTGTAATCGAAGAACACTCATAAAATCCAAAAGTATGGTATACATGGTTATTTGCTTGAACGAAAATAAGGAGAAATAATTTTATTTTAGATATAACATTTAACTCGTCTTCCAGTAGTCACTAATAATTAATAATTGGCCTGGTTGAAAGAACTTTATACTGACCCTGACATACAAAATCTAAGTCCTATATGTTATGAGTCCCAGCATAACACTAATCACCTCTTTGCATGCCGTGAAGTGATTTCGATGACAGTAACCTTATTGCTTTCCCCCAAGCGGGGTCTGGATAATCGTTACAATAACAACAACAGCATCAAGAGGGCACTCCTTGATTACGTCGACGATATAAGGTCTACCAACAAAAATGACTTAATGTTAAAATGAAATTAAACACTGAAAAATTGGTCAAATGGGATCTGTTTTTGCTTTGTTGTGCAGATAATTTTATGCTATTTATAATTTGAGCAAAATCTCGGCTAAATGACCATGGCTCCGTTTGCATACCTCCACTGGTGAATGTTGTCTTCAAGCTTCTCGAGCGTTTCTGGGTGATTGGCGTTACCACAATTCGCACAAAACGTTCAATTTTTAGGGATGCAATTTCGTTTTCTGAATCGCACGATGATTTGACTCACCCCGATAGCGACGATTTTGTTTGTTGATGAAGCAATTAAGCCGGAAATAGGCCTTAGCTGAGAATATGATTTTTCGATAAACGTAGGTCGTTGTGAATTTTTCGGAAAATGTAAATTTGCGTAATAATCTTGGACAATATCTGATCGCTCTGCCAAAGAAACGGGCTATGATAAAATAGCAAACATTACTGAATGCACTGAAAAAATTTGACACAACTCCGTAAACAAATATTGATGCCATGAGCTGTCAAAATCACGACATCGCTCGGCAGAACATTTTGCTGACCTGATTACGGATGCAACCAACTTCAGACGCGCACTGAACGACATTCTTTATGGATCCATAATCAATTTCACCGACTCCATCCCAGTAAATTGCGAACTTGGAGTCAAACCACCGCAGACGAAGAGCTTACGTTGCGTCCAAAATTGACCCCGACATCAAATCCGTATGTCTTGCGTGGGTGGTAAGGTTCACGTTGGTTTTCATCGAAGTCATCTAACGACAGGTCCAGGAAACGTGGGGTGCATTCGAAATGACAATCACGACAGCAGTGTCAGTTCTGAGTGAATTTCTGGCAGCCCTTGCGACAGCATCAATATCACTTTTTGCACGCACTTTATGCAAATAATCGGCAACACTAAATTTTTGTCTGCACATTAACAGAATATCAGCAAATATGCAACACAGTTGATGTACTGCTGCAATTATTACGTAGCTCGAACGCACCCGTACTGTTTTGAAGAGGTCGGACTAGAGGGAACGTTTTCTTACCCGAAGTGCCGCCGGCTAGCAACTTGAGGATTTTTTTGCAGCTCTGTACTTTGGCTATAATCGCGGACGTACTACATGCCGAGTGGAGGAGCACAGGCGTCTAAATCATCGATTGTGATATTAAGATCCAGTCTGTACTCCTTCGTCTAGTTCGTTAATGTGTGCTGTGGATTTTGTGGGGGAGAGGCTCCTTGTAGAAAAAAAAACGAGAACTATCGTTGATATAGCTGTTTACTTTCGAACAGATGCGATCAATTTCATTGTGTGACGTCTATGCCGTACAATCATATGCGCATGAGATGTTAGAAATTTCCTCTGGTGGTTGCGGGAGTTTCAAAGTATATAAGTTAAACAGGGTAGTAAGGAGAGGACACCACCCTGCGGGACCGCCTGTTAAGTGCTGTTGAGGTGCTGTGCACTTTCCGCAAGCCATGTTGATGGTCTGCTGGGCTCAGGTGGTGAGTGAAGTTTGGGAGTAACATGGCCTAAAGTGTCTTCACTACTGGGAAAAGGAGAGTCAACGGGCGATGAGACAACCTTAGCTTGGCGGATTTCCCTGGTTCCAATATGAGGACCACTCCTCCGACTTTTCACATATCGGGTATACTAAGTAAGGTCAGCGACAGGTTGAAGACCTTGGCTAGGTATCTCACTCCCATCGAGCCTAGATGCTTTAGCATCAACATGTTAATTCCATCTGGGCCAATAAATTGAGACGATTCCACCATGCTGATGATATTCTGAACTTCGATGAAAGAGTGGCGTGTAGTCTTTTGGATTTTGCACAGCTGCCGTAATTTCTCGGTTGAAGGGTGCAGTATGAATTGCCAGCTAGAATTACTCACTCACTTCTTCGTGTCCAAGGTGACATCGAATTGAATTTCAATCCAATCGTCAAGCATAATATTAGACCAGCGCTAGCGATGGTAATATCAAATAAATTTTTTGGAAATAAGGCTGGGCGCTATTGAGGCAATGTGATCTATATTCGGTTATAAGAGGCTATACCCATGTTGAACAGATGCTTCTTGAGCCTGCAGCGCCGAGTGTAAAATGTCTCGAGTAACTGGAATTTGGCTTAATATTATGCTAATAACGAAACAAAATAATTTTAGAATGTCATTTGCATTAACAGCATTAACTGGATATCTTAAAAACAACTTGATTCACATAATCTCATGAACCTTTTTCAAAAAATGGTAGGAAACTAAGAGTGTATTTAATATGGCTTCACCGTAGCTTAGCAGTACTATACATTTTAAGTATGTATAATCTCTTTTTTCTATTTGTGTACAATTCGAAGTAATTAAGGGTACTTTTGTTAGTAAGTATGTAAGTGAGCTCCATCTTCAAACTCACCTGCTGTCTTAAATCGTTATTTTTAAAACGGTGATTGATAGAAACGTAAAATTTATCGTAATAGCATTTGAACTATTTAAAAACTTGCAAATAGTTTCAAGAAAGCAAATAATTACTGGTGAATTATTTTGATTTATTCAACTCCTCGCCCACATTTTGATAAATTCAAACATGTTTATTTTGAACTAACGAAATAACCGCAATCGTTCGAAATGGCAAATAAATTTCAAACTCATATAGTTACTCAGCCCACCTATATCCTTGTTCACAGTGTGTGAATGCGATGAAATGTTTGTAACTTCTAGGGTTGTGCGGTATGTGGCACGTATGTACAGTATTGTGCAAAACAGAAGCAATGGCAAATAAATAATTTAGTTCAACCGAAACGTTTGTTATATTAAAAAAAAATTGACACAATTGTGAAATATGTCATTCTTGTTTTCTCTAACCAAAAACAAAAATCAAATTATTAGTTCTAAGTAAAAAATCTCTAAATAAAATAACAAAAACTACTTCATAGTCAATACGAAAATGTGCAAAACTAAAGCAACATATTAATATTTTGTATAAGATCCCTTCACTTTTATAACCTCAGCTCATCTATTAAGCATTTTCTCCATGCCATTTTTTATGTTTTGAAAAATTCTTACTAGTTACGGAAACGTTGACCGAAAAATACTGAACAGGTTCTCGATTGGGTTCAAGTCCGGCGATTGAGCTAGTCAACCAATAACCTGAACTGAACGTTCCCTAAGGTAAACTTTAACCAATATAGATGTGTGCGTTATCGTGTTAAGAGACCCAACGTAGAGGCATAAAGGGACCAACACCTCTGGTGGAAAAACAAGTTCAAACCATAATAACATCGCCGCCGTATTTAAAACCTATTTTACAATTCCGTGGATCACGACGTTTACTTTTACACATTAGTGTAGACATTCTATCAGAATTAATCATATTAAATTTAGATTCATCGTTAAGTAAATCTGTCTTCCACTTATTTATAGTCTAATTGCAATGTGTGGAGACAAAATTTAGTCTTGAAAACAAATATCGGCAACTTTTGTTAAAACCCTAATTTCTATATGACAATTTATCCAGTAGCACCATTTTAAGCATTGGTTTTTTTTTCGCTGATCTATAACACCTTAAATCGTTTTTAATGCACACGCGCCGTACTTGCATCAAGGTTTAAATTAACAGTCTTTACAACCTCTCTCGATGTTTATCTATTGTTAGTTGAAAGTATATGTTCATTTTGTTGCTTATGTTTTGCACAGTGCTGTATATATGGTATATCCCAAAGCTGAAATTGAGTTATAACTAAGAGTACTAATAACATGAATATACATGTATCCATATAAGGTTATTAGTTAAAAAGGCTTTGAATATTGAGTTGTTAAAAGGAATTGAAACAAATTTTGTTTTTTATATTTATCATAAAGGTGAACATTTCGGTAAATTTAAAATATTTTCTAAATTAAATCTTTATAGTTGAACAGTTTAGTTAGCGACTGTTTTTTACATTCTTATTGTATTCAAGTAAGTAGAAACTAATTTTTTGAAATTCAGTGTGTGGCATTATTGAAATAGAATAGAATCAGTTACAAAAATAACCTACAGTGCGTTCAAAAAATAACGATTAGTAGCGCTTATTATTGTTTTGTCATAGCTGACGTTTAATCGATTCTCCAGCGTTTTGCTGCTCTACTCTCCGAGGCAGTTTAGACCCTTACTGTTAAAATCTTGTAGATCAAATTTTGAACTAAACGAACATTTCCACCGCATATGTCATTTCAGCACAATTCAATTATCTGACTCACTTCTAAAAAATTACAAAGACTGTATTGTTTTCTCTTAATAAAAACCAAAATCATTTATTATAACGTAATTTTAAATTTTAGCTGTTATAATTTTTTTTCTGTAGCTGAGCAATTTTAGATCTCGACCCTTAAAAAACTATCTTGCCTTTCATGACTCGGCTAATTCCGTCGGTTGGACGGGAGGAGGGTAATCGTTGGGTTATTATATAAATCTGCTGGTCCGGTCTAATTGGCATTGAGTAAATTCTTCAAAATTTGTTTTCGTCAAAGAGATACCACAATCTTTAAGCCTTAAAACAACATACACATATTTATGTAACTACAGACCTACGTACACCCACACATGCATATGTACATACTTTTGGGCGAAATGGTGATTGCATTGTTTTCATTTGATTGTGTACTGTGTGTGTAACCGTACAACCGACATTACACAATGCGGATGCATTCTGCAACTTGGAATTCTCACGTACATAAGCTTGGCAGAGGAGGTGTAAGCGTTCTGCTCGGTATTCTTAAACTTTCAAAGGATAACTGACACTTGCAACCGTCGAGTGCAGTTGATTGCGACGTGGCTGTCAATGAAACATACATGTATGTACATACATATTTACATGTGTGGTTATGTTTAAACCCGAAAGTTCGCTTGATGACCACACATGTACCATAACCGACTGCCGGAGAAGTGTGCTTTGCAAATTTTCTCTAAATAACATTGTTGAGCATAAAACTTTTCATATGTTAACAACTCCGGTGGGAATTCAATGTTTCGATATCTGCGCAACCCAGTTGTTTTTTGTGCCTTTTCTTAGGTATTATTGTGTGAATTGTGTTTGAAATAGGAGTTCCGTGGTTGCCGAAAAATAAACAATTATTAGACAAATGGCATGGCATCTTAACCTCCGTAGCGTCAAATTGACTGAAAAGTAGCATCAACATAAAGACAATTCGAGACAGACCTCAATTGTTTATTTCAATGTTTCTAACTTGTTCTTTATGGTGTCGTAGGTATTCTGAAGAGTGAGCATAAGCGTGAAGCACCAATATAAGTGCGTTTGCAGGTAAGAGAAGGTCATGGAGTTTTCATCAATTTCATATAGAACTGAAGTCGGTGTATATCCATTTGTACTGTGTGGACCCTAAACAATATTAGAATAATACCATACTAACTTATACAATTCAATAAAGTAGAATATCAACGGAAACACACAAAAATGAGTATAAACTTAATTTAACACTTTAATGTTAAAGCATAAAAGCTTTTAAAGGAAAAAATGCCTAGTTTGACCCTTAACATAAAAAAGGCTATTATGGTTTTTTTTGCAATTAAATCATGTTATTTTACAAAAGTAGTAATATGACATTATTATACAATGTTTTGACTTGATGTCACGAAAATTTTAATTTCCAAAGTTATAGCTGTCTGTGTTGACCCAGTTCCAAAAAAAGGTCCTTGCGGTGACAATCATAAGTCCTTGGAGATTCATCTAAAATCAATCGGAAAAAAAATTAGTTTTATAAATCTCCTGGGCCTGATCGAAGTTTTTTTTCAAAAATTAACAAATGGCGGCCTTACGAATTTTTTTTCTAGATTTTTGGGAAAAAATCAACAGTTAATTGGTCTTAAAAAATCGAAAATCCTTCAATCTGGTCCGATTTTATTATGTATTCTTAAAGCTGTATACATTTCATTAAAATCTACTGAGCGGTTTTCGAGTTACAGTTGTCACCAGTTCAAAAAATATTTAAAGTTTCTTGCAGCTGCCGCTACCTACCTGCTCCCGAGCGCTTTGACGTGCCCGAGCGCACTTTGTTATTTGTCGAATAACTCAAAAAGTAATTATCGAATCAACTTAAAATTTTCAGAGAATATTTTCAAGATATTACAACGCTATACTCGCTTTATTGTACTCAATGAAACTATAGTGAATATTATAATACAATTTTGATCAAAAATTTGTGAAATGAGTATTTGGTACTTACGAGAGATAAATTAATGAAACTAATGTGGCCTAGACAGGTTTGCAAAATTTTCAACTCTTTATATGTACAAATTTTACCCGCTGTACTCGCTCTACGCATAACATATACATAGATTTATAAATTATTTACAAGCTAACTCTATTCGAGCTATTAACACGTTGATATTATCTACTTACATACTTGTATTTGTTATTATGTGTTTAACGCCTGTGTGAATGCTACTCACATAAAAAGATAAGCAATCAGACTAGTTCATTTTTCTCATTGGTTTATAATCGCTCGCGATTTATTTATTATTTTATACCCGAGTGCAATTCACAGCAAAAAGTGTTCAAGTATATTTCAGGAACTATTAAGAACACTACATATTTCATGCATATACCATGTACATATATACATACAGGTACATTTGGTAGATTTCATTTTGAGATATAATAAAGTGGAAATTGCTGAATTCCAAATCAGCTTAATTCTTGCATTTTGTAAGATTTAAAGGCGTGGAAATATTTTTTGGTTTCATTCATTGCTCATTTCTTTAAGGTACTTATCATGCAAACTGTGATAATATTTATGTCGATATCTTCATTAGTGCTTGATTCATATACTTGCGGACTGAGAAATCGACATACAGTGTCAATCTTATTTTAAGATAATATATATCTCTACTAACAAAGCTATTATACTCCATGCAGCATGTTACGCTATTTTACACAAAATAAAATGCTAGGCACAGTAGTAGTAGAAAGTAATGTTGACGTCAAAGTTGCAAATGATTCTATCTTCAGAGACTATAGGATGCAACTCACTATAAGAACTTTATTTCAAGCCATGCTCAAGGAGTATGTGAAAAATGACAAAAAGCTGGTTTCTTATGCTTGTAGACGCGACAATTGTGCCTTGGAGGCAAATGTACAAGAATGTACAATAATAGAATTTTCTTGAGTTCTTGTTATATGGCAAGATAGCATTTTTTACAGTCTGGCTACTTATTCACTCTTATTTGATTCTCTACTATGTATTTATAATATATCTATATACATAAATATGTCGTGAGGCTCACTACTGCTTCTGTTTAAATTTTTTTTTAATGAAGAGCAACTTGTCCGCATTACTATACGAGCACCTGCTTTGTTCACCTAAGAAGTAGCGACTAAAATGAACCCAAAATGGGTTCATCATAACACATACATACATACATATATGGATGGTAGACAGAAAGAAAAGGGACGAACGCAAAATGCTCTGAAATGAGGACCATCGCCAAGTTATCCGTAAATATTCATATTGACACATTATCCGATTTATATCAGCCTTTGCGTTAAATTCGCACGTAATATATTCAGCATGGTCCGTAACCAAATTTGCATTCGCAGATGCGTATACAACGGCATGCTTTTCAATTAGGTCGGCTGATGATGATCCTTAATCTGATGGAAAAATCTATGTATCGATGATTTACCAATCAAGAGTCAATAGAAATGCCCCATTTATTTCGAGTCATTCCTATAGCTGAGGAAAGCGAGTATTGCGCTGGTAAAGGAAGAAAGGTAAATAAAAGACGGGAAAAGAGCTGGGGTCCATTCCGAAAATTAGTTCTAGTGTTGTAAAGTTAAACAAGTAAGGAAGATCCATGTTTGGGTGTAACCGAACATTTATTACTCTTGCAACTTGCAAGGATCAAAGGGGAATACCTTCAGGTATTATTTTGAAGATCATATGCTCACTTAGTTTTATTACTATACTTTTCTTCCTGTCCGCGAAAATTATACTAAAATCATAGGGGGCATAGATATTTAAGGGCTGATTGTATTTTTTTTGACATTCAAGAATTTATTTTCAAACAATTTTGTATATATGTATATTAGGGTGGAGCGAATTTTTTTTTTTTTTCTTTCTCTGAGGGTAAATTTTGTCGATTATAAAAAAAGAAAATTTTTGGAAAAACATTTTTTTCTAACCTCTAGAGATATCGAGTTAAAATTTTTTTTTGACAAAAAAGACAGACAGACGGACGATGTATCGGGTCTTCGACGCTTCCTTCTGGGTGTTACAAACTTGGTGGCAAAGTTAATATACTCTGTTCAGGGTATACTAATGTTTAATTGATTTAAAAACATTAAGTTCGTTTTTGTTTTGTTAAAAACGCCTTCTTTGTGCTTTTCGAAATGTAAACGTTTGCGGCTATTTATAAAAAATCTGAGATATTTTGGTGAATATTTCCGTTTATTTAGGTCGCTCATTTCGTTCACTGAGAGATTATTGAGTGAATATCAGATATAATCAGGCTGCATAATAATAGTAGTACTTACTGAGGAGCATCAGGTCCATTAAATGTGAACATCTGTGCACCGGAATGAGTAAGTAGTTTATAAAATTTAATTAGCTGTTTTGGAACAAAATAAACCACAGTACTAAGATAGAGCAAAAAGTATGTTCAAAAAGCTTTACTTTAACGAATTATCAACTAACAAATTACCAGATTAACGACCTACGAACAAATTGTTCAGATCGGACCATTAGCATATATCGCTATAGAAACTGACCGATAAAAATTAAGATAAATATATTTTTATACACTTCTATAAGATATGTCCCTGTGAAGGGTATTATACAATAGCTTGGTGCTGCCGTAGTTAACGGTTTTTCTTGTTTTTTATACCATTCTGTAAAGTTAAAAAAAATCGAAATTGCTTTTGCAAATAGATCAGTATTTAGCATTAAATCATATCCTTACAGCTTTAATTTATGTATTGTAAATACGAGTATACAGTTTCTTTCCATGTTTATTTGGTATGAATAAAAAATAATAGAATGTATAAAAATAAAAATAATATGAATTCAACTAAGTTAATCATAAAATATGAGCCTATTTACACCAAATATCAAATCATTTTATGCAAAATGGAAATAATGTATTATTTTGTTGCAAATTAAATAAAAGATGGATTTGTATGTACACCTCAACCTATAATTGTAATAAATAATAAACAAGTTTTGCGTTGCAAAAAAATATTTGATTATATTTATATGTATAGTATACATCCATATATATATATGTGCTTGTAGAACACATGGTGCACATGAATGTAATTGGACACAGATAACATTATACCCTGCAGTGGAATTGTATGACAAAAATGCAAAACAGCCGTTGAAAAAGTAGATTAGTCTGTATTTCATGCTATCAACCAGCTCCACCGTTTTGTTTAGCTCTCCTCTACCGCCTTCTAATTTGTGCGGTGCGCCACTTTGTTGGTTTCCTGTTGATTTCACACCCCATTTTATTATTTAATTGCAAACACAAACAACTACAAAGTCGAGTGATAAAACTCCATCCTTTTTGTCCGACTGCTATTGACGGGATTTTCTGCTGGCGATGAATGTTAAATCGTCTCATCAAAAAGTGCACAACTAAGGACAAAAGTTCTGGCTGTGCAGCCTTCGTTGGCGATAAATGCAACAGGCACTCGTGTTATATGCAACACCATCGATATCGGAAAAGGTGTGGGCGAGTGTCCATTGCCGCAAGTCCAGCTGGCTTTTACTCCTGCTCGAAAACATTTCATTTTAATTTTCTTTGTTATTTTCAACGCAATTGTTTTCGTTCATGGGTAAATTTGCCCGCACAAACACACACACAATCATACATATACACATGTATACATGCATGCATACATACTTATATCCTTATATAGGAATGTATAAGGAATGGTGTTTGTTATTGTATTTTGTTGTTGATTCTCAACAGTGATTCTGCTGAGCTATTCATGGGTATTTGGGTTGGCACATAAATTTGCATATGTTTGATGTTGCTGGCTTTTGGGCTGTTCGGGCTTTTTGTCCTTGTGTGAGAGAGCGAAATGAAATCACTTGTTGTCTGGCGCTTAGTGTTTAATCAATGTTTTTGGTAGTGCACTAAGTGCCAGTTGGTTGAAATTCATCGATCAACGAAGCATGCACTTTAACACCAGCTTTCCGGCTTCGGGAACTTGTTTATAGTTTTTGTTTTTTTTTTTTTAATTAAAAAGTACCAATCTATTATGTTTTGAATGAAAAAAGTAAAATCTAAAATACCTATTTGTGGTTTATCGGTGAACTAAACGAAAAATACGAATTCATCCTTTCCAGACTAAAATAATACATACCCATATCAAAATTTGCGAAGCAATACAAAATCCTTTTTCGCCAGGATGTTTAGTTTAGAAATGCCTAACCGCATAAAACGGGAGCTGTTGTTTTGGTCCAACTGGTATTTGGTGGCAACAAAAAGGATCTAGGAAAAAGCATATAACGAGAAATAATTCTCTATTGTTTTAGAAAGTTCAATAACGGGTATCAGGCTTTAAATTTTGTGTCAAGTATTGAAAATGGTCATCAGGGCTCTCTGAGACGAAAAATGTATGTTGTGATCAAATTGATATATGAAGTCTCGTTTTTTTTTCAAACTAACTTTAACAATGCTGTAAACGATCAATGAACGCCGCCGTTCGATTTTCCACCAATATTACATAAATATGTATACGAATTTCGAAAACTTATATAAATTTCAAAGTAAGCAACTGAAGTATAAACAATGATTTTCTCCATTTAGAATTCTTAAAATAAATCCATTTTTCACCGCCAGTGACAATTCAATGCAAAACTGATTTTCTTTCGTGTCTTCGAAGCAAAATTTCACAAGTATTTTTTCGGGTTTTCACTTGTTTTTCATTCAATTCATGTGGCACCCATTTTCTACACTTTTGAATTAGCTTTCGAACGGTATGAAATTGTTTGTGGTGTCACATTTTACATGGCTGCCATTTGCTTTTGACTCAAAGTATCATCTTCATCTAATATTGCTTGCAGTTCGGCGTCTTCAAATTTTTTCGTGGTCTGCCACGTTTCTAATTTCTCACATCAAAATCATTATCTCTAAATGGTTGAAACCATGTTTTGCATGTTGCTTCTGATAGAGCATAATCATATAGCATATATTTTGAAAAATTTTGTTTAATACGTGCGGAAAGTACGGAAGCATGACTGTTTGTCCTGCCCGGACGATAACTTGAATAAAAATTGCGATATATCGATGAAACTTGATACACATGTACCTTGGCACTCTGAAGGTTGTTGGCGGGTGGGCGGAGGTAAACCATTACTACACTCCCGATAATGGACAATAAAAACGCATTTAATGGTAAAATGCAAAAGTTGTGAAAATTAAATAATAGCAACCTACTCTTTCAACTCTTTCTTTCTTTCTTTCTTGAAATTAGCCTCAAACGGCAATTGAAAAAATGGAAACAATCACAACTACTTTACACATCACGCCGAAATTCTTTCACTTTATAATTATCTAGAAGACCCGACCACGCGCTGCTGTAGCTAAAGTAAATTTAGTCAACATCTACATTTGTGGGCGCTTTTGTAGCCCGATTACTGACCCTGTTATGATCCAAGTACTTAATTTTTATTTCCAGGAAAATACTCTTAAATAATACATTTTTGTCGTGAACAGCCGTGCAGAAATTGTCTGGCAATTTAATGTATTGAGTATTTGGTTGCAGTTCTGTTATACCATTTCGAATATTTAGCAATTGTTCGGAATATATTTGTTCTGGTCAATTAATTTGCAATAAGAACGATTGTTTAAACTTTAATCATGAATTAAGAAAAGCAAAGAATGACCGATCTGTTGGCAATTACCAGACAGTAGTTATTTCATCAATGCCGTTGAAATCTTGCATTGTTCTGTGCAATGCTTCGAGAATATTACAATGCATCTATGTTACTCAGGGTGAATGTAGCTTTCCAATGGTGAAGCGATTTTTAAAATCGGCACAGTAGTTTTAGAGTTTATTCATTACAAAGTTTATTCATTACAATGTATGCATTCCTTGATTTTCAGCTATTGGTTATATTTTTCATTTTTAAGACTTACGAATAAACTATCAGAAGTTGGTCTACTTAATATTTTAGTAAAAAATGATTATCATATACATATGTACATAGTTATTTGTGACATCGTAAGGACATTCTGCATTCCGCTGACGTTATAAGCGCACCTGTATGAGTCGATTTACCACACATATTATATATAGATATGTTACGTATACGACGAGTTTAAGTTCGAATGCTCTACTTTCAACGCGCCACATAAATACAATACCATACTGGAGCTTTCGTTGTGAACATATAGTTATGCAAATATTTGCTGACAATTGTCACATAAATCATATTTCCTTGGTTTGTTGTACAATTAGAGCCCGTTTATTAGTGCATTTCGATTGGAAACCGTTAATTGAGGAGGTTTGAGAAGAGACTAATTGCACACACACACATAAATTAAACACTTAAATATACATACATACATACAGATGTAGCCGCTAGATAGGAGCATTATCGGCAAATGCCCTTTAGTAATAACGGGGTAATAGTGCCCATATATTGAGCTGAGATAACGCAATACATTTGATCTTTATGGGGCTAATGTGGCAGTTTAAGTGAGTATCCACAGTATATTAGTTTATATAGAAATGTAAACTGTGCATTTGTAACTTGTGGAATTATACGATAAGTACGTATGATGTGCGCATATGTATCGTACATACAAGCAACAACTGAGGGTATTTTATAGGTGGTAGCAAAAACCACTATCGAAAGCTTTATTTTGCTGCAGGCTATTACGATTGCAACAACATAAAGTAGTTATTATGGATGTGATAATCTCTGCTCCTCTTATCATCAATTGGTGCAACATACAAAGTCAGTACGATTTAAGATATACGGTATACGTAACGTAATCAGATTACAGCAGAGTCCTTACAGATACAAAAGTGAGTGATTCCAAATTATGAAATCTTGCGAATAACGTCCACTTTTCAATATCTATGTGAAGATGGGACTAATTGGTAGGTACATAACCATTTTTATACGCTCACAACATGTATGCAATATAATAGTTTTCTTCACCTAACGGTTGTTTGTATCACATAAAACTAATCCAGTTAGATATAGGGTTATATATGTACATATAAATGATCAGAATCAAAAGACGAATTGAAATCCGGGTGACTGTCTGTCCGTCCGTCTGACCATGCAAGCGATAACTTGAGTCAAAGTTATGACATCTTGATGAATATACAATTGTTTCTTGGCGTCCAAAGGAGGTTGATTTGCATATGGGCGTAATTGGACCACTGCCATGCCCACGAAACACCATTAAACGAAAAGCCATAAAGTGTCATAACTACGGACCAGATTAAGTAGCAAAGCTGTAAATTGGCACAAGTTAGCTCAGTAAGAGACATTTTTGTGCTAAACATTTTTTAAAGTGGGCGTGGCCCTAATTGGCTTAATGTACATATCTTCCAAGCCGTTAAAGCTAAATCTATTAAACTTGCTGATAAAAAGTCCCTTTAGCACCCCTTCATACACTGTGAAACTGGGTATGAGGTTGTATTATATTCCTATTATACGCTGTAAAAATGGGCGAAATTGGGTAACAACCACGGCTACTTCCCATATAACAAACTTTTTATTCCATTCCAGTATTGCACTTTACAGTATAGAAATCAAACATCAATAAAGTTTTTAGTAAAAAACTTTGCACAAATAATACCCTCAAGGTATTTCATCTTAAGCTCAAAAATTTACGAAATCGGACTATAACTTTTCAAGGACACAAACACTAAATATGTGAATATTGCTGATTTTTGAGCGAACATATCGATCAATTTGTGAGGAATTCTCCGGCTTTGATCCTTGCGAGTATAAAATGTTCGCTGACACCCGAATTTAGCTCTTCCCTACTTGTTAGAAACATTTTCATCCCAGCGTTAAATTTAGGGAAGGGTTTGGGTCCAAATATTTTATTTTAATAGTTTTATAGATTGGTGGAATGCGATAACAGGATATACTAAGTTTGCCTATACTTGAGATGAATGCCATAGGCAAATATCAAATTCTCCGCCCAACAACTGCGCTCTGCGTCATCCGTATTGTCATAAATAAATTTGGACTGATATCTTTTAATTCGTTTGAACAAATATAATTTAAAACGTCCAGTGGTGTACTGTTATAAATTTGCAATACTCTGTTTGTTGTTTATAATATGAATTAGAATGCAAAAATAAGAAACTATGATTTTTGTTTATTATACACAAGAATAAAAAAGAAATAAATAAAGTAATTTTGTAAATTATTTTATATTATACTTAAATTAAATAAAATAAATAAATAAACAAATAAAATATGTAAAGAAAATTATCCAGACTTCTGCTCTAAAATTCTTGTGCTCTAGACAATTGCCTAACTTGACTATATGAGCGGACCGGCCCTGTCTGACGCCAATCCAATAGAGAATTTTTGTAATTTAATGAAAGCCAAAATATCAAAAAAAAATTTAGCCCCAACAAAAGGTTTCATTCGGCTATTCCAATATACCTGGAGATGTGTTGTTCTGTGAAATATGCGGACAATTTAGTTGCAAGTTGCCAACAAAGATGTCAGGCTATAACAGACTTCAACTATAAAAAAAAACAATATATTTTCTTTAATAACAACATTTTGCAAATAAAAGCTACCTACACGAAAACGTTATTTTTGAACGCGTTGTAGTTTTGGGGCATTCAAAAGTACATACTGATGAATATTTAGTACCGCTAGCGGGCGAAAATCATGTATGCAATATTTTTTGGTAGTTCTACTTAGTTTCACATCTTAATTTTAGAAAATAAATCAATTTTCTATAGTGATAAAATTGACAATCGATACGTCGATTGAATATCCAGGATACATTTATCTATTTCAGAAGGTCAATAAACGCCAATGTTTAGCTCCGAAAGATGTCCAAAATATTATGTGCATGTGTATACAACACATTCACAGGTTGCCGTCCACTATTTTATCTCTGGTACAGAGATCTAAGCACATCAAGCTCGATTGCCACTTTGAAGTTATAACCCAAATTCTCTGCCAAAACGAAAGAGTGCGAAACTTGTTGACATAAGTATCAGTGAAATTGTCGACATTCTTATCTCTTACAATGGCAAGTTACTAAGTGTGTGTTTACATTGGGACTCTTTTGACACTCATTATCGATAAATTCTCTTTTGGTGTCGCTCTGTGCATTCACACGAGCAAAAAGAGTCCAGCAACTCGAATCAAGTTTCCTGTCATTCCTTTTCATAAAATTTTCGCAAATGTTTGTGAGGTTCGGCTACGCGACACTTAGAGTGTGTTGCATATTTCAATTGCATGTTGGGATGGTGGTTTCACATTTTTCTTGCAAGGAATTACCATGAATGTGGTACAACAATATGCATAATGCCCGCTTAATAATTTCAAAGAAATACTTAAGAGGGGGATTCCCTAATCCACCAGAATTTATTGAATACCCGCTACTAATATTTTCAAGGCCAAATTTATAACAGGAATTTTTTAATCTTATTCCAGGATAAGGAATGCTGAAAAGTGTAGCAGCGAGCTATTACGAACAAGAACACAGAGCGTGCCACCCGAACACGAGTGGCACGGTCCCTTCGTCTTTCCTCGTCGTCCCCTCGCCCACACTAAACCGGTTTGGGTTACAAAAGAGTC